TTATTTTCAAACTTCAGGACGGCAAAAAGGATACAGATGTGGGTATGTCCGATTTTGAGAACCTCCTGGACTTAGCAGCAGGGAGTTCTGAATCAAATGAAGAATGCACTACAGACGATGCTCAGGACACAGCATTACTGCCAGAGGTGTCCGAAAAGAAGGGAAGCTTTGATTGGCTAGATGACACTGGACGTGTGATCACCGACCAGGTGTTGTTGAGTGATTTGCAAACGGAGGCGCAAAAGTTTATGGAAGCTGCCAAGGCTGGACAATTCCGAGCCGAACGCGGTGCTTTTCAATGCCCTGCGTGCCCCTTCCGGAAGTTCGACCGCTGCAAGCGTCTGGCTGTCCATCTTTCTCGGTATCATACAGCAAAGCGTCAGTTCTGTTGTTCCGGCACAAAGCAGATCAAAATCATTCTTGCTCTCCATGACTCAGACATGATTGCTGAAAAAAGGCAAGGGAACTACCTGAAGCGAAGCGCCACGCTGCTAAGAAGATCTATCAAGCCAATGCTTTCGCCGCAGAACAACGCCGTCGACAAGGAAATTCGGTTTCTATTGGATGCTTCAGGTCCAAGGGTAGTGCATCGGCAAGCGCTTCGCAGCGCGCGTCGAGTTGGCAATATGTACTACACACATTCCTTCGCTGAACGGATCTTCCAAGAAATGCTCTTGAACCATGCCAAGGCGCGGGGAGATGAAAAAGGTTCAATGGTCGCACAGCATGTGCTATGAAGGTGAAAAACCCTTGTAGTGACTGCTCTAAGCACCCCTCAGGTGTCTGCCTTGGTACCTCGTTTTTTGCTTGACTCAGCAAAAGCTGGCAACAGCCTGGCGTCAATGCTGCCCACCCACACTGCGTGTTGGTGGCCTGTGGTTGAGGACGTATTCGCATCAGCAGCTTGCAAAAAACTCCGTCATCATCTCCTGGACCAAGCTGTTGCGCATGAGGAGTGCTCGTACCTGTCCATTGATGGAACATTCAAGGTATGCTTGCCATTGATGGGGCAGGGTCGGTTTTCAGACCCAAGAGCCTTACGCGACCAGCATCCTTTTCCGGCAAGTGACAGCTACACCCGTGTTCTCTCAGTGCGGGGAAGAAGCGGTGCAGTGCTTTGCCTGGAGCCATCTTGTGGAGAAGGCGCAGACCACATCAAAGCGTGTCTTCAAAAAAGCATTTCAGCGCCTGGACTTTTGCAAGTGAAACATATTGCAAGCGACAATCCTTCACCGAAGCTTTTTTCTGAGCTCAAATCGATCTGCGCAAACCTCAAGGCCTTGTCTTTAGACCCAACACATACGGCTATGCACTATGAGCAGGGGCTGGGAGGAAGAAAGTCTGCAGGTTCGAGCCTACTTCGGTCATTCATGGTGAAGTTCACCAACCACGACGAAGCAGTGACCCAAAACATTTGGGGACCATTCTTTGAAGGACAAGCTTGCGTGGCCCTATCTCGTGAGGAGCAAATGTTGCGACAACACATTCTGGACAGCTCCTTGGCAGTTGTCCGTTCCAAGCGGATACTGGCTTCTTGTGAAGAATTGAAGGTCTGGCCTACACGGATTCAGTTTGTGGAGGCACTGGCTGCACTTTCCTGTCTTCACAGAACCGACATGGGCCGGAAGATCGAAGGGACTAAAACTACGCTGGCGAAGCTCCTACACAATGTCACAAGTGCAGAGCAGCTGGAGTGGCTCTTCAACAACTTGAGGTACAGGCAATTCTTACCACATCGAGTTCGTCTGCTGCTGCCTTCAGGCACTACTGCCAACGAAGCACTCCATGCAGAAATCAACTCATGGTATCGACAGACTCAGCAGATGCACCGCAGCACATTGGTGCAAAAGCTGCAAATCCAGCAGCTGGGCAAACTATTGGCCCACAACATTGCTTTGCACAGCCCCACAGCAAAGCAGATGCCAAGCTCTCATGTCCTCTCACAGCGAGTTGGAAATCCTCTATGGTCAGCCAAAACCTGGCAGTCGGACATGGCGCAACAAGCATCAACCTTGCCATTGAAAGCTCGCAGAAAAACAGAGAAGGAGCTGGTGGCAGAAGCAGCTAAAAAGCGTCCAGCAGCAGCTCCAAGGCCGAAGGCGCGTGCGAAGCGCACGCCATTTACTTTGGAGCGCAAACCCGGTCTCCTAAGGAGCGGGGTGCGCAAAAGAAACTCGATGTGACAGGTGAAAAAGAATTGCGTAAACACTGCTTGCTGTGCTTGTGCAAACACAAACAACACTATCTTTGGACATTGGCACGCTGGATTAGACTTAACCCTTCTACACTCTGCGCGCTCAATACACAAGCAATTAGTATGTACTCTCAGCGATCAATATGTTGCTTTCTCCCGGCCCTACCTGCTTGCTTGCCTGGTATAGAGGGAACCTAATCTCTATGATTTGCTGGATAGTTTCTTGGCATCGCGCTCCGCATCTGGTTCTCCAGTTTCAAGTCCAGTTATGGAACTGGAGCAACAGCCTTGCTATTTAACGTCTGCGAAGTATTATTGTGCTCTTTTGCTGACAGGAAAAATGGGCGGGTGCTGGATGTTGCACTTAGAACCAAAGCAAATGTTGTCTTGAGAGCTCCCACGACTCATTGTACCTATTTTTCCATGCCTCGGAGGGGGGGGGGGTCTGTATTGAAAAATCAATTCCAAGGGGGCGGGGGGTGGGGGGGGGTCTGAATTGAGCGATCAATTATTAGACCCGGACGTCCCAACACTTGCTTCGCAAGACAAACTCAAGGTATCCCCTAAAGGGCTACCTTTCGTGACCTCACATAGTGATGTGGGGAAGAAACAAGGCGAGCCCGCGGACCCAAAAGCAAAAAGAAGCGCGCAGCCCTGGAAGAATAGACAAACACACATTAGCAGGCCAAAACGAAGCGTCAGCCCCCGCGTGGCAACCGTGATGTTTCAAGCATCGCGGTTCTGGTGCGCATCCATCCACCCCCGTCTGCCATATACACCCCCGTCCACCCCTTGGTCAGTTTTGAAAGCCCTCCAAAACGGTCATTAAACGATTGCAACATGGCTTCTAACAACGGTTCCAGGAAGCGTGGAGCAGCATCAGCTCCCTCCATGCTTCGTTCCAACCATGAAATTTGAAGCATTGCGGTTCTGGCATGCAACCACCCTGCCGTTTCTGCAATGACTCGGGCTCTCTTCGGCATACGTTGCACACATTCTGGACACCCAAGACCGTCGTATAGGCCGCGCCAGACAGTTCCACTCGCGCAATAACGTTCTTCTGTCCATCTTCCTTCCACAGCCCCGTATACCCCCCCACTGACGACTAAACTAAACGAGAACCCAAGCGTCGGAGATTCTTTTGGGAAAAGCGCGCGCATGTGTACTGCTGTGCCAGCGCTACAGTGCATCACACGCGGTAAAATGCTTTCGGGTCATTCGTCGTCTAGTGTTTAATTTGCTGGCATAGATTTCCTTCCGGCGGCGTGCGTCGTTGGCATGTGAGCAAGGCGTCGATATGGCGGAGATATCAGGAGAGGATTTGTCGTTTGTTTTTCTCGAACAAACCTTTGCGGGCTTGAAGAAAACAAGACGGTTCCCTTTTTAGTCGGGCTGGAGTTTGGATGTATTCTAAATATATATATATATATATTTGTTATACTATATTATATTATAAATCTCATCTCAAGTGGCTTTTTTCAATCTCTGCAGCTAGTCTCCAACCCCATTGCAACATGGCGTCTGACAACCCTTCCAGGAAGCATGGAGCAGCATCAGCCCCGTCCATGCTTGTGCACATTTTGGACACCCAAGACAATCATATAAGCCCTGCAACGCAGCTCCCCTCGCGTCAGAACGTGCTTCCGCAAAGCATGGAGCAGAACTACCCCCACCCATGCTTCGTTGTGAACTGACCCGGAGCAGCCTGTAATGATGCTTGTGGTGCAACCATGTTTTCGTAACTAGCATATCAGCCGCGCAAGATCGCTCCACTCGCACAACGACGTTCTGCCGCGAACCCTCCCTTCCCCGTCCACACCCGTCTCGCTCCACACCCATGCACCTTCCACTTTATGCACCCCCCGTCTCGCTCCCAGCCCCGTCCACACCCACGCGCCTCCCGTCTCGCACCCCCTTCCTTCCATCCACAGCCCCGTCCACACCCCTCCCATCTCGCGCCCCTTTCACCCATGCCCCTCCCTTCCTTCCCCAGCCCCGTCCACACCCACGCGCCTCCCGTCTCGCGCCCCTTTCCTTCACTCACTCTTCCACTCCCACTCACACTCACACTCCTCACTCCCATTCGCAGACTCTCACTCGCTCTCACTCACACTCGCACTCACTCACCCACACTCACTCTCACACTTCGCACTACCCAGACTCACTCGCACCCACCTTCACTCTCACTCACACACTCTCATTCACTCACTCTCACTCTCACTCTCACCCTCACTCTCGCTCTCGCTCTCACACTCACTCTCCCACAGTCACTCTCACACTCACCCACGCTCGCACTCACACTCACCTTCAGTCCCACTCATACTCACACTCACTCTCACCCACGCGCCTCCCGTCTCGCACCCCTTTCCTTCCATCCACAGCTCCGTCCACGCCCGCGCACCTCCCGTATTGCGCCCCTCCCTTTTCCATCCACAGCCCCGTCCACACCCATCTTCCGTCCACGACAACGCTTGCTTTGTCTCGCTCTTCCGTGGCACTAGCGACTAAACGAGAACCCAAGCATCGGAGATGCTTTTGGGAAAAAGGCACAAACAGGAGCAAAAACAAGAAAAGAGGACTCACAAAGAAGCAATGAACAGCAAGGGAAAGCAACACAAGCACAGAAAAGCAGGAAAAGCAAAGAAGCCGTGAGAAGCAAGGAAAAGCAACACAAGCGCAGAAACATCCAAAAAAACAAAAAACAAACAAAGTTAAATAATGTTATACAAATACCCCTTCCTGCTTATCTCAGGCTGACCTGGCGCCCTGACTGACTTCAAACTAAAATAACCATAATCTATAGCGCCTTGCAAGCTCTTTGTCGTCTCCCTTTTGCACAATCTGCAGTCCAATGACCTCAAATGGCCGCAGTCGAAGACTGGCATAAACATAAGGGACACATGCCATACCGAACTATTTTCTGGAGCCTGTCCGTCTCTTAGCCAACACTCTGTTGAGAACGACAGTTGCCAGCAGCCATCTCTCCGAAACAAACTATTGAATGTCTGGCGTGGTCAATAGCATTGAGCCGTGCAGCATCAAGGCCCATCAAACCAAGAGTTAGCCCAGAGAAAAGGCCAGAGAGCATGACCAGGAACCTGCCAAGGGCTGGTTTTGGAGACGAATGTGGACAGGATCCAACCCAAGTTGCAGTTGCCCCAAGTCTTTGGCATTGTCCTACTTACAACAGCTCTTTGCCAGGGCTGCAAATCATTCTGCAAGCCCAGGTCAAACAAATCAAAACAACGTGTCATATTTTCACATGACTTTTAGCCTAAGCATCTATAAACACAAACAACAAAACCTGCTAAAACATGTGGATGTAAATGCAACTGCATCGCATGCTTGACGCTGACCAACAAATATAGCATAATTATGTATATATATATATTTGTGTAACCTTTGTAAAACATACCGTCTCTGAACATTGACATACAGTCATGCATTGCATTGCATTAGACTAAACTACATCCCATTACAAAAAGTAAAATTGTTTTACATACTCACAGCACATGCAGGTACCTGTTACACAGCCCAACACACCATATACAGTACAAGTACTGCATAATACACATGCGTGCACGCATACAATGTGTTGGGAAAAGCTCCCCTGGTTAAACACGCTCTGGCCGTTAGGGGTTGTGTGTTTTGACGTGGTCTTTTCAGTTTTGTGAATTCTGAAAGCTTCAACGATGCGGTGTTCATATTTCGCAGTGTCACTACAGCAAGAAACCGAGAGATTCAGCAGCCTGCGTGTTTGTCACGACACTCTGCAGCATCTCGGCTTCTCTTAATACCCTTTTAAGGTTCGTGAGTTTGGCATTTCTGATTTCTGAGCGGCTGAAATGCATACTGTACAGTATTCATTTTCATCCAAACCAGTGGGTTGGAGCAAAGAGCAAGCTTGCATGTGATCTTGGGCTTGAACTGCTTGAAGAACACCCCACAAAACCAACACCTGTGTGTGGCTGCCAACCGGTAGTTACATGCACCGTAATTACATGTTACTAATGCGTGTTGCTAACCCTGCAGTGTCAGCACTTTGTCCCCTCACCCCTCCGAACAAATTCCTACACAAAGCAACGTCATGTTTGTGCAAGCGTTGCGATTCAACATCGCGTTATTTGCAATGGCGTTGGACGTCCCGACTTTGCCCGCCCATGAGAAAGCAAGTTCCTACACGAAGCATTATAGTTGTACCTTGTGGAAATGTGAGAGGCCAAAAACATCAAACACTTACGTGAATCACAGGCCGCTTGTAGGCGCCGACGTTCGGAACATGCCGTCCGAAGCAACAAGACGTGGCAGAACAACCACCCGACCCACACCATGATCACCATGGATTTAATGTCAGCTTACGTCTCGCATGACGTTCCAAAACGTGCCAGGCTAAACTCAATTATGTGCAGCACTTGCCAAACTTGCCACAGGAACGCGATGATTGGCAAGGAGGCATAAAATGGAAGTATCGGTTCCACTTCCTCAACCTGCACAGCGGGTGAAAAGCTTGCAACATGGATTGTGTATAGTGTCCAAAAGAATCCAGGGAGAGACCTCTTGGCTTCAAATGGCTCTCACTGCAGTTAGTATACCTGAAATATCTTAAATCATGAATTGCAGCGGACTAGCCGCTGTGCTCAATCCATCCACCTCCGTGACGTTGCTCCGGCAATATTCTGCTTAACACATTTCCATGCCGACGAGGGTTAGTATTAGTTTGTTCCTAGCAGCTTCTTGCCCCCAGTAGTAAGGGCAGGAGCCCCTAGTAGCGTCCTTGCTCCTAGTAGCGATGCCAGGAGCCCCTAGTAGCGATGCCCTTGCTCCTAGTAGCTTCCTAGTTGCGATGAGGCTTCGGTTTCGTCTACTCTTGACTCACCGCTGCTCACGCTTCAGCCTGCCTCGCAGGGTGTGGAGTTTTGTCCTGCAGCCTGCGGCACGCACCCATGTTTGATTCTCCTCTTTTGGGGGAATTGCCAGGAGTTGGTTGCAATGAAACTTGGGCTATGTGTGTGGAATAGGAGGCGCTGCCTGCCAAACTGCTGACAGGATGATCACTAACGCCAAAGGGTGTGTAGCACTTACCTGGCACAGCTGGGCAATGCGGAAGAACTACAAGCGCCCATTGCCCATGCCAGGAGAATGAGCACCCTTGAGAGCCTTCCAAAACAAACCGACAAAATCTGGCATGGGCAGAATCTCAAAGAGTGGTAAAGTTGCTGAGAGAGATATTTTAACTTGAGAGAGGAGGGGGGTGAACGAAAGGTAGCAGGGAATCAGGCGTAATCCGGGAGGATCACCTCCGCAAACAGGACGAGCTCAAAAACACTGGTATTTACGAGGTTTTGTTGCCGTCGATCCACAGCCGCGGCAAGGTCTAAGGCCACGCTTGAAGACAGGAGGGGCTGAAAACACTAGTATTTACGGTGTTTTGTAGCCGTCGATCCAGAGGCGCACCACGGTTGTGTGCTGGAAAAGCGCAGAAAACCGTGTAAATACCGGCGTTTTCTGCCGGGAAGGTGCACAAAACCCTGTAAATACCATAGTTTTGTGCAATTTTGAAGCCTCCAAAAGCCTCAAAAACCCTTTCCGACAAAATCTTTCCTGGTTTTTGGTCTTTTTTCGGTCATTTTTCTAACCGAGATGCATCAAAAACCATCGGTTTTTGCGGTGTTTTTTGCCGGACAGCCACAAAAAACACTGTAAATTCCATGATTTTTGGTCACTGTTGAGGACTGGAAGAGCTGAAAACACTGGTATTTACAGTGTTTACTGGTATTTACAGTGTTTTCGAACTGTTGACCCCGGAAAGGGGGGGGCCCGGCCAGCAAACGAAGATGTCGGGGACCATTTCTCAGTGAGATAGGCTCCGGCTCTGGGTATAATACATTTTTGCTAAAGCAAAAGGAAAACTCAGGTAGCGTAACCGCTACCTTTCGTGATATTGGAAACATTTTGTGCAGGTCTTATTGAAGCTTCATGACACTGCATTACTAGGTGGAATGTCAGTTGATCCAGCAATAAAGCTTCGTCTCAGCATCTCGCAAGACTCGACCTCTGTCTGTTGTGCATGACGGCCACAGAACATGAAAGCCGCAGTGCATATGCTAAGCCGGGGTCAATGTGGCGAAGCAGTGGAACCAAACCGCGGAACTCAACAAAGCAAAGCCCTTGCTCCCTTTTTTCGCTCAATCATTTCAGTCATAGCGCTCATTTTGGGAAGTGGTGGCCCACTAAAATAGGAATAACCCACGAAGCCGGCCTTACTGCGATCAAGCAAGGAAAGCAATTTAGTTAGTAGATGAAGAAGCAACTATGGCCAAACAAACGCGTTTATTAACATGTTCATGATCCTGCGCAAACTACTGTATAGACTACAAATACACACACACACATATATATATATATATAAATATCAAAATACCTTCGGCAATTGGAGATTGAGCTCTTGCCAGGCCCCCTGCCAGTGCCAATGTGTAGCCTTCAACAAACTAGCAAGAGCAATTTTTTCAGCAACATCGGTGTGAACATTCTAGCCTCAGACCTCCTGCTTGTGTTGCTGCAATTTGCTCCCCGAGAACAAAGGCCCCATACCTTACCGGTAAATACCGGTATCACTTCGTACTTGGCACTGACCTACCTTCTGTGCTAAAGTGCATAGTGACCGTTCGATCCTAGGCAAAGCTCTCGCACAAGGACAAAGCACAAAAGAGCACAAACTGCCAGGATGCAACACAAGCGCAATGTTTCGGAGTGTCGTCCTCAGATCGTCTCACTGGTGTGTGTGAAGTTGTCATGGCTTGGCAAAGCACAGGTGCTTTCCACTAGCTGCTATTCCTGTTTTTTTTGCTTGAAGTTTTAGGGTTCATCCTTGTTGCTCCGGGACTTGCAGTGGATAGCCAGTTTAGTTTCACATTAGAATGTTAGAAGCCGCAATCAAGCTCAATAATGAATCGTCAAGACACATCACCTTTAGGCTTAAGGCACCGCAGAACTTTATCACCAAGTAACCTAGGCGAGGCAAATCGGGCCTAGTAAGTGCCCAACCACAGTTGCCAACATTGCCGCAGTCCTAGTCGAAGTTCTATCTTGCTAACCCCTGCTCTTTGTGCAAACCTCCGTGCATCTCGTTTTAAATCTTTTTGCGAGAGTCTGAGATCGGCCACCACTGCCTAAGTTGAGTGGCTTTGTGGTCCTGTCATGCATCGTTGTCCGGCACTATTTCAACCTGATTGGCATTCACGCGTCGGAGGAACAAATCAACGCTGGTGCCGTAGCCAGGTAAAGAAACAAGTTTCAGGGTTCCGCCGAAATATCGAGCGTACAGCCGTGATAGTGGAAGGCCAATACCATACCCTGCCAAAGACGTCGCTGTGTCAGCATAGCCTTTACTGCTTTTGCCTTTGCCGGCAGTAGTGTACAAATATGACCATACCTTTTGCCCTACACCGAATGGAATCCCACGGGCTCTGTCACACACACGGATGGCAACTTCATGGTCATCAGCACAAACAATCACCTCAATTGGCCGCTTCTGCACCTCTCGGTCTGACTTGGCAACTTCTGCAGTTGCACGGCAGCTGTTTTTGAGCACTTCCGTCATGATGAATCGCAAAAAGCCTGGAATGTATGAAAAGCGTGGAACAGCTTTGTCATGAAACTCTTTGACCTCAATCTTTGGAGTGCGACCTGTGTGCTCTTCAGTGATCTCCTGTACATGCATTGCTGTTTCGCGACAAATTTGGGCAATATCGCAGTCTGGGTCTACAATACCGGCAAGTTTTTGAGGCTTTGTGTCAGACTCCATTATCACGCAGGCCAAATATTGGGACATTAGCATTTCTGTTCCAATGCAGTTCAAAAGAAAGTTGTCCAACCACGGGTCTATGAATTCACTCGTAAAATCATCTCCACGCTGTGTGTGCAGCCGATGCATGGCAAGGGCCACTTTCAAGCGCACTGGCTGCTGCTTTTGCATAGCGCGCTCTACAACTGCAGTGAAGGCATCGAGTGTCGGCTTCCGTTGCACCAGCCGAAAGTCCCTGAAGACGTGTACATGGGCATCCTCGATCTCAACTAATTCAGGAATATCCTGCCAGTTCTCGATCTCTCGAATCCAGCGGATTCGCTCCGCAATTCGAATCGGAACCTCAACATGCAAAAACTTGGCAATGCGTTGTGGGTCCAGCATGTCCAGAACCTCCTGCATGCTTAAGGGTCTTGGTTGCATTGGAGCAAAGGAGTCCAGCTCTTGTTGGATGAACTCTTCAACATCGCTCTCAGCTACTTGTGGAACAATCCTAGGATCGCAGAAAGCACACAGAAAGTGCGATAAAGATTTTTGCGTAAAGTGCCAACAAATACGGACAAGCATAATCAAATGTATATACTGTATATATATATATATATTTAACAACAATAATAATAATGAACACTAAAACGATCTATATAAAAAGGACAAAAAGGAATCGTAAAGAACTACTTTTTCAGCAAGCATCATGCTGCCCCGTTCCCACGGCACTTGACCATCCCAGCTCGAGGGGCCATACTTTCGCTTCAATGCTTTGGCAACTGAGGTTGACGGGTCAACACGCTCCACCTGCCATCTGTTCGTGACCGTTTGAAAGTGGCAGGGATTGGCAGGGCCACCATTCAAGAATGAACCTTCGGGTCAAACACTTCAGATGCCGGCAAACACACACACACACTTTAAAAAGCACATTTGAGCCTTTTCACTCTTCACCTCAAAGCAACATCACATCGAATTTAAGTCCTCACGGTCGTGACGGAGATGCCCTGTATTTAGTCGGTGAATTAAGCACTCCAATTTCTTAGTTTCCTGAAGGTAACGTGCCCCATCCACAGGGTGGTTTGTATTGCGTGGTGTGGAGTGGCCATGCTTTGAAAGTCTATTGGGAAGGGATCCTCGTCTTCCAACATCAAGCATTTCTGTGCGGGAGGAACTGTCCAGCGCACACAGATTGATCTCTGGACAGGTCAACCACGCCTGTATGAGTGGTGCTTGCAGCCTTCTTGAAGTTGCAAAGCACTTCAATGCATCTTGCTTCAAGCGCGACATGGCTCTCTTGCACGTAAGGGCCATATGAGCTTTACTGTGCGGGGGCCAGGCAATCTTAAGAGGCTTCTCTTCACTGTGCTGTGCCAATGACTGATGAATTGATCCTCTGGTGCGCTGATGATTGTTCAGCTCTGAGTCTTGATTCCATGCGCTCCGTGTGCTGTGCGGCCGACTGTTCCGAGAAGTGCACGTCTCCCAAATCACACAAATTGCATAAAACAAACACACACAATGAGAATCAGTTTCCGGCCAAACAAGTTTATTCTTTCCACAAAACGCCCGCACATCTGCGCCAGGAGGCTAGAGTAGTTGACCACAGTGCCCAGGCCAGCCTGTGGTCAGCTGCTGAGTCACAGTCAGTCCAGTGTAGGTGCTTTGACATGTTTATCTTGGCCCGGCAATGTCATTAACATGCTTGGTAGCCCGAATCCCTTTCCACATGGGCGCGGCTGAAATTCAAAAATCCACGGGGTTTCTGCAAGGCGGCATGATTGCACAGTTTATGCCCAGGCCAAGGCTGCCATTTGACAACTTGATGCATGTCTGTACATCTACACAACACTCTTGACCCTCGCAAGATTGCAGGAGTACCATAATAAGTACATGTATATAGTATACACACGTATGTATATTGAGTATCCTGTATCTTTGGTATTCTTTTCCAGTCTTAAGATACACAACAATTTACACAGCTTCCAGACCGCAAAGGGCCCCAAAAAGTAAGACATCTGTGGCAAATAAGGAGAGGTATTTTGGGTTGAGCTGCGCAAGTGCATTTCCTGTTGCAAAAGGATGAACTTGCATTTGTAATTTGACTTGTGTGATCTACTTGTCTTACAGGGGCTTTCCGGCTTGCAGTTTGAGTTGGGGCTGCCTTGTGAAGTCAAACCAAGTGATCAATCTACCTGGCCAGAACCACAACAACATGGAGCCCACGAACCCGAATGCAAACACGTTCAAAAAGCTACATATGTCCAAATGACACTCTTGTAGGACGCTCTTGTGGGACACTCTTGTGGGTCACTCTTGTAGGAAACTCTTGTGGGACACTCTTACGGGACACTCTTGTGGGACACTCTTGTGGGACACTACTGTGGGACACTCTAGTAGGAAACTCTTGTGGGACACTCTTGTAGGACACTCTTGTGGGATACTCCTGTAGGACCCTCTTGTGGGACACTCTTGTGGGGCACTCTTGTGGGACACTGTTGTAGGAAGCTCTTGTGGGACACTCTTGTAGGACACTCTTGTGGGACACTGTCGCGGGACACTCTTGTGGGACGCTCTTAAGGGACACTCTTGTGAGACACTCTTGTGGGACACTCTTGTGGGACACTCTTGTGGGACATTCTTGTGGGACACTCTTGTGGGACACTCTTGTGGGACGCTCTTGCAGGACACTCTTGTGGGACACTCTTGTGGGACACTCTTGTGGGACACTCTTGTGGGACACTCTCGTGGGACACTCCTGTGGGACACTCATTTGGGACACTCTTGTGGGACACTCTTGTGGGACACTCTTGTGGGACACTCTTGAAAGGCACTCTTGTGGACACCTTTGTGGGTCACTCTTGTAGGAAACTCTTGTGGGACACTCTTGTGGGACACTCCTGTAGGACACTCTTGTGGGATAATCTTGTGGGACACTCTTGTGGGACACTCCTGTAGGACACTCTTGTGGGATACTCTTGTGGGACACTCTTGTGGGACACACTCTTGTGGGACACTGTTGCGGGACACTCTTGTGGGACACTCTTAAGGGACACTCTTGTGAGACACTCTTGCGGGACACTGTTGCGGGACACTCTTGTGGGACACTCCTGTGGGACACTCATTTGGGACACTCTTGCGGGACACTCTTGTGGGACATTCTTGTGGGACACTCTTAAGGGACACTCTCGTGAGACACTCTTGCGGGACACTCTTGCGGGACACTCTTGTGGGACACTCCTGTGGGACACTCATTTGGGACACTCTTGCGGGACACTCTTGTGGGACACTCTTGTAGGACACTCTTGTGGGA